CTGATTAAACCTGTTACCGGTTGTTCTTGTTGCTCAGAAACTCGGCACAGAGTCCAGAGGTAACAGGAAACAAAATGGTGCCAACACAGAGACAATAAAGACCCACCTCCAGAGATTCATCATCAGCCCTGAGGGCGACAGCAGCTGAAATACTTCCTCCACATCTGAATTCAAAACAGTCTCATGGTTGAGTTACAGGAGGAGGAGGCAGGTTTGAACCTGCTGACGGATCAGATAAAACCTGATCAGACGGCTCAGTAAAGATGGAGGCTGGTGCTTGTTTATTCTAACACAACATTTCCTCTTTTTAAGATAATTATTCATTGAATCTAATTGTTTATAGTCAGTTTTAAAACGTGTTAAAACTATATTATAAAACAGAGAATTCCCCTGAATCCCAGAACACTTTCACTTCTGAATCCTGTGACTCATCGGAGAGATGACTGATTAAGCTCCTCCCACGCAGAGAAACATCATGTGACCTCCATAAACAAATGTGTGAGTTCCACATCGCAGTGACTTTGATTCAAGTGACAGTAGAACTGATAGAAAACAGTGAGCATGATCTGAGCTAACTGGTGATGGTGGTGATGATGATGATGATGATGATGATAATGAAGAAACTTAACAACCTGTAAAAACATGAACTCCAGATGTGCTGCAAAGATCTGAGCTGCAGTTGATCTGTTTACACATTTGTAGTCACATGACCTGATGAGATCAGAGATCAGCTGTGGGACCCAAACACCTCTGTAGTTTCACATGAGGAAAACAGAGACACCTGGGGACAAAGGTTTTCATTGGCTTGTTCTCTTGTAACTGTCTGAGACGTTTATTTTGTATGTTTTATATGATTTAATGAGAAATTCCTGATAATTTAACTCATAAGGTCGTTAAGAAGATGCAATAAACAGGATGTTAAAATGGAAACATTGATAAACAGCGGTTTAAAAGAAGGACTGAGGTTCAGTCCTGCCTGCAGCCGCCTGGGTTTGAACCTGGATCAAGCCGTTTCCTGCAGGTGATCATCTCCTTCCCAGCTCTCCTGTCTCTCTCTCACTGCCCCTGTCCATTTAAATATGGCCAAAGCACAACTTTAAAGAGATGAAGGAGTAGATCTGCCATTTGATTTTACTTGGTGTCAGACTGAGAAGAAATGTTCAGTAAACACAGCTGGTCCTCAGAGTGACATGTGGCCTTCAGCACATTAAACATAAAGCAGTGAACTTTATACACAGTTTATGGTTATGGATGAATGAGAAGTTACTGAGCAGATGAAACATCTCCCTGGATGATCGTTAGTGTTGTTTCAGTGCTTGCTAATGAATTCAGACATGGGTCAGATTTGACCACCTGGTTGTAAGTAGTGTGGAACAACCAGGGCTGAGCGGGAAAGATCTGATCCACCGTCACAGGCCTGAAGCACCAAGTGCAGCTGCCGCCGCCGCTAACCAGGAAGAGACGGTAACTCCGCCATCACACGAGGCAGCGCCCCTGTCCCACTACACCTGAACGCACCGTGACACCAGGAGCCTAAAGCTCGTCCTCAGTGACCCATCTGATCCCAGACCAGGACCTGGTCTTCCTCTCTGACATAAACCTCTGAAACACACTTGATGTTCGCTTTGATATCGACTGTAACAAGAGGAAGTGAAGCTCCGCCATGTTCAGAGACTCCGTCACACACAGAGACTGATACGGGTCTTTACAGTAACTTCACCACAAGCTCAACTACTTTCTCTTTCCTCCATATATCCGCTCACACACTGCTTACCTGACACACATGACAGGAGACAGGTGAGGAGACACACACAGACGGTCAGCACTGAAGAAAACATCTTCTTCTTCTGCTGGTTAATAACCGCCAGCTTCCTGGAGAATCGATGAAGGCAGTGTGAAGCAGCTGAAAGGCAGTAAGTGGACTGTGACCGAAGATAACCGAGGTACAATGATCTGTGGGCAGCTGCCTTTGACTGTGACGCCACGCCCACCTGTGACACAGCTGAGGGAGGAGTCACGTGATTTACAAGAAAACAGCAGGGAGCTCTGCTCGTATGAAGCACCTGAACTGATTGGACACAGAACAAAACAGCAGCTGAAGATCCAGACTGGAAACAGGAAGCAGGAAGCATCACTGCAGACTCCACACATACTCACACAACCTGTTCCCGCTGCTGCCAGAGGGGAGGAGCTTCATCTCTCACCTCTGAACCTGATGTTCATTTCTCTGTGAATCTCAGAGCGACGCTACAATGTGACCTTCAGACTCTGATGCCACGCCCACCTGTGACACAGCTGAGGGAGGAGTCACGTGATTTACAAGAATATGAAAAGGACTGAAGCTGAAAGGACAGAGTGATGTGTGTGAACAGCAGCTGAAGATCCAGACTGGCTGCAACATGAAGCTGCAGATGTGACAGATGTTTTTACCTGCTTCATCAGAGCGGGATGACACGCAGCACAGGGCCACGGGTCGGACTCCAACCCACAGCGCTGCGGTTAATGACGCACGCTCCTCCAGGTAAACCACCTGGTTCACAGCTCGTCAGTCTACTGCTAATCCATAAACTTGTAGGTCACCTGACGTTACATTCTTCACAGCACTTTGAGGACATAACATGAAGGAAAATGCAACAACAACTACAATACAAACTACAATCAATAAGGACACATTGCGTTGATTTAATACAGGACGCATTTTATTTTAATACAGGACGTGGCAGCTGAGACACCTGACCTGCAGGTTGAAGCAAAGTGAAGAGGAAGATGCAGCTTCACTGTTAAAAACACTTCGATGATGTTTGATGCCTGTTGGTATTTCATCTATGTGGCTCATACACTGTTATAGGGCTGCAGAGGTTTTTGCATTTCGTTTTCACTGAAAAAATATAAAAATTATGACAATGCGATTTTTGTTCCTTTATGTCTGGAGAATATGATTTGTAATTCGGGGCGTCTCTGTAGCACCACAACGTGTATGATGCTACAAATGCTGATGCTAACAATGCTAATGCTAACAATGCACGACAATGTGACACATTTTACCTTCATCGAATAAGAATAAACTGCAGCTCCTGTGATTTGGAAAGTTCTTGGTATCAAATTCATGTCTTAAAGAAAGAAAGCGTCACACAGATATGTAGATTTTAATATTTTATCCTTGAGGCCAAAGGGAAGTCCTCCTGCACTCTGAACAGCACTTCTGGCTGCACCTGTCTGCTGCTTCTGGAGACCCCTGGGCATCTTGTCAGTACATGACTCCATAGGAATAAAAGTGAATCCAAAGAGGAGCCACCTGTCACTCAAAGAGGCCACGCCCTTAATCCTCCATAATAAAATGTAAACAGGTGAGTTTTATAAACAGGTGACATGAAGGAGGAAACAAAGCTGTTTCTGTACCAGGCTGTAAACATGTTTATTTCTGCTGTAAAGTTGGACATTTTAACATGGGAGTCTATGGGGACTGACTCACTGTTGGAGCCAGACTCTAGTGGTCGTTAGAGGAACTGCAGCTTCTGGTTCTTCATGTTGATGCTTCATGTTTCAGTCTGGAGGTTGATGCTTGGTTTAAACCAGCAGGTGTCAGCAGAGAGTCAGTCCTCAGCCAGCAGGATAACACTGATCCTTACAGTACCAGCAGCTTCTGCTACTTCTAGTATTTATTTAATAAATAACAGCAGATTAACTGATGACCAGACCTGTAGGCCACCAAACCAGGGACCAAACTGACCGTGAGAGTTTTACACACACACACACCCCCCCTCCCCATTTTAACAGTAGTATAGATTATATGATTATATATAAAATCAAATTAAAATGTATTTCTATGGAATCTTCTCATACAAAAGTATGAGTTACTGTTAAGTTGAAGGAATGTTGCTGCTATCCAGTGGTTGATTTCCTCCAAGCAGCTGACCAGGGAGTTTATGGGTTGGGGTCATCAGTGAACATGGAAATAGAGCGGTAAGTTGACTGATGAATTCAGTTATTCATTTACTATCAGCCTGGTTAAATAATGGCATCAGACACTCAGGGCTTGAAGCGACGTAGAGCAGATGCCCATGTCGCCCAAATCTAAATCCAACATTAACACACACACACTTGAACTTGAACACAATTGAAAAGATCCCACATTCGAGAACAAGCACATGCAGCTCTGCTCACAACAAACACACTGCTCCAGCTTCATCTCTGTGGTTTAATCTATACGTCATAAATATCCTGATATTGTGCTGCGTATGTTGTGGAAACATGGGGCTGGTTAAGGTATAAATATCACTCCTTTGTGCCACCCTGAGGACAACAGGGGCGTGACATCAGAGCACATCTGGATCTGATTTCATTCAATGAATAAATACATAAATTATCTATTCGATGTTGGGTTCAAATCTGGAGACACTGGACATCCCGTGGATGTTGCATGATGATCAGGTGCAGACTTTAATGAAAGCACCACGCTGCCATGACGACCCCTGGGGTCTGACCTGTCCTCTTGTGCGTAGCTGATCAGGTCACTGGGATCACCTGTGTTCCTGGGTGTTTAAGTCCTGGTGGCTGATTAATCTCTCTCCTCTTGTGTTTGGTTACGTCTCAGTTTGAGCCTCATGTTTAGTTCTGCACTTTACATAACACATATTCCACTCATGCACACCTCACACTGCTGATTCACTGAGTCCCACACTTAAACATTTCATTTGGTCCAATACAATGTTCTTTATTAGTGACGCCCGTGGTGCATCTCCCTTTATGTCGCGGCCTCTTGAGTCAGGGTCTTCATCTTGCTGTGTTTGCAAACTGATGTAGCGACACACTGAATGTATGTCACATCCTGACCACATCACCTTGGTTAAAGCAGAGACAGGCTGTCACTCATGCAGGGTCAAACACCCCCTCTGCCCACTTCCTGTCAACTAAACTCATGTACGGGAAGAAGCAGCTTGTTTCCATCAACGTGTATCTCTGTCTATAAAGTCAAAGTCTTTAGAGAATGATGAACTGAATGTTTTATTAAGAAACTCTTTGAATCATTTCAAATTAAAGTCAAGAATCTTTCTGAACAAAGCCACAAACATCAGTCAGAGTTAGTCCTACTGTCAGTGAAAGCATCATGCAGCCACTAGATTTTTGTCTTTCTTGACTTCATGTCGTGTTTCAGTCTGTTTTCCCTTTTTTATTGTGTTGTTGCAATAAGTGGTGGATCAAAGAAGGAATCAGACAGTCGAGACACAGGTGTCAAAGTGGGGAGTCTCTTTATTCACAGCGGCCTACTCGCAGTCATAGACGGAGACAACAACCACAACACAGACCGAAACATGTTCTTTTATATGTTATACGTTATGTTTATTCCTAGTTTCCCAATCTCCTAGTTTCCAGATGTTTCCCAAACAGTCAAGGTGTCTTGGCACCATATCTCTTGTTATTGATTTGTTTGTCATTCTCATACACTGGCCCTTGTACTCCTGTTGGCGTCTGACCGGGTGATATCAGGTCATACATCTTTGCGCCTTGTAATTCTCCTACAATTGCAACTAAAGAAAGAAGCTCAAACATTTTGTGTGCAGATGAAACCACAGCAGTGTGAACCACAGACAGAGGAAGGAGGAGGGTTTTACTCAGTGACTCTGAGCTGATCAGAGAGCAGCTCTAACATCCTCACAGAGTCAGGATGGAGGGAACATGTCTGCTGTGTCTGCTCTGTGAGTCCTCTCTTTATCTTTATGTCTGAGCTTTGATTTGTTCTCTACTTTCCAGTCTAGAAGAAATGCTGTGAGTTCTGCATCAAACTTCATCCCGTTACTCACCAACATCTGTCTCCAGAGGTGGAAACAAACCCTCCTGCTTCTGTTTCTGTCACTTTTCTCTTCCGCTGAAGGTGGTGTCTGTCTGGGAGCAGGTGATGATCGTTGTAACGATGGGACGGGCTAAGGTAGAAATAAAAGTAAAACATGAGTCTTTACTTTCTTTTCTTTCCTTTATTCTTGGCAAGTAAAGGAATGAAGTTTTATGGTGAACTCACAATATTTTTTACTAGACTGTAAACAGCTGCTAATGCTAACGTTAGCTACAGTATGTAGCAGTAGCAAAACTTATCAATAACTCCTTTAAAGTCACTGAACCGAGCGCTGTGATTGGTCGAACGCTTCTTCTTCTCTTGCCCAGCAGACCGGGCGCTGCTGCCCCCAGCTGTTAGACTTGAGTTACTGCATGTGCACAATTGAACCACTCGCAGCTTTTTGTTTGATTTAGCGACTAATCGTTACAACGTACTCTGATGTCAAAATGCGTACAGGTTGCTAGGTCTGTAATCACGTCGTACCCACCACAGTAACAGTAGTGTAACAGTCGGGTTTACTTCATTATTTCAAAGATAATATTTTTACATCACATCAGCAGTAACTGGGAGGAGGCGGTTACCAGCTGAATACTGTTTCTGATCTCAAGGAGCAACAGAGGGAACATCAGGCTTTAGATGGGCTACATGTGTTGAAGCTGCTGCTTGTTGCTTCTCCATCACAAACATCCGCTAAAAGAAAGAACTGTTTCCTCGTCTCTGGTCTCACACAAAACCAAACCTACGTCACTCTGTCAGTTTGCTCTGGGTGAATGTGAAACCTTTAACTAACCTGTGGGTCACGTCTCTGCAGCTCTGACCTCCCTGCTGTGCTGCACCTCAGACTCAGGTCAGTCAACTCCTTCTACACAGTTTAAACCTGACTTTCACTAGGGAACTGACACTACAGCATGGATGGAATAATAATATGTTTAACAACAACAACAACAACAACAACAACATCAATAATAATATAAAATATATGTCATAGTTTATATTTTTGTGGATAGTTAACGGTGCAGTTAACCAGGGAAAATCCTGGGCTGTGACAGCAGTTCAGTGATGGTTGTAAAAGGTGCCATAAAAAGATCATGAAGTTTAAATGATAATGTGTTGATGTCACCTCCTCTTCTCCCCAGCTGGTCTGACGGTGAGTCCCAGCAGCTCTCAGCTGTTTGAAGGAGACTCTGTCTCTCTGAGCTGTGAGGAGGACGACAGCTCTGCTGGATGGAGGCTGAGGAGGAACACCACCAGAGAAACCAGGACTCAGTGTGGAGCTGACTGGGGAGAATCAGCTGGTTCTTCCTGTAACATCAGCTACATCGACCCATTGGACAGTGGAGTTTACTGGTGTGAGTCCAGAGAGGGAGCAACCAGTAACAGCATCAGCATCACTGTCACTGGTAAGATCAGACTGTGGAGTCAGTGTTGATGAAGCTAAGCAAATCATTTCTCTACAACAACTAATCCTCCATCGTCTCACTGCTCATGACTGATCATATATGACATTTATATTAGTGATGAAATGACAAGCTAACACTGGAGATGAAAGGGTGCATGCTATCAGCTAGCTAACATTAATTAGCTGAACTGTAAATTAAGGCTAAAGTTTGAAACCAGGTAACATTAGTGTAACTTAAAGCTAAAGTTCTAGCTAACGTTAGCATTCATCTGTAGGAACTTGACACAGTCTAATTCAGAAAGTAAGACAGTAAAGCTAGTTAGTTAGCTACTGCTACTTACACCTACAGTGTCTCTGACACACAGGAGCAGAGACTCAAAGAGGACAGAGCCCCCCCCCCCCCCCCCAAACAATGCCTTCTGCTCCTTCAGTATCACAGTAATCTGATGATAGTTGACTGTACGTCCGCGATTCACTCAAAACAGGAGCTGATATTTACCTGACCAGGTGTGATTCTCTCTCCCTCAGCTCCACTCGATGTTATAGTCACTCCTATGGCCCCACCCACCTCTGGAGCCCCGCCCACTGTCTCAGCCCACCTCCATCTTGTGTTCTTCCTGATCCGCTACCTGGTGGTGTTCAGTCCGTACTTCATCTCCACTGTCCTCATGATGTCTTTATATAGACAGAGACCTACAGGTAACACTATCTATCAATCAATCAATCAATCAATCAATCAATCAATCAATATTCTGAATCAGTCGACATCATTAATGTCACATTCATGTTGCTTACAGCGGATCAATAATGACGCTTTATTTACCTTTTCCATCTTTCCACACCTGCTGGTGACAGATAATCACCCGCCCGTCTCCATGGCAACAACCTTGTCCAACAACGAAGCCAAGCAAGGATTGGCTGAGGACTATGATGATGTCACAGCGGTCAGCACCGAGCATGACTTCTGAAGGTTGCAGGTTATCACTCATCAATACTCTGATCAGAATCGATACTTTTTATATTAATAGTCTGTCACAGTTTCCGTTGCGTCATGTGACCTGCTTGTTGTGTTCTGTTGCTTTGAGTTCTTTGTACCTTTATGTAGAAAAGCTCTCTGTAGATAAATATTCTTATTTTCATCTTCATCATCATCATCATGCACCGTGAGTGTGAACTGTCTGTGTCTCCATCGTCGATGTGTCGATTAAATAAATGAGGAATTTAATTACCACTATATTTTCTTTTTGCCTTTTATTTGTGTTGTGTCATCCATCGCTGTGTTCAGAGATTTGAGAAAAGGCCGTTTGTGTGTCTCTGGAGTTAAAGTTAAAGGAAACACACCAGGAGAAAGTCTGTCGAGGATTTGCATATTGCTTTGATAATAATAAAGGTTTGGATCTCAGCAGCTTGATTGCTGCAGAGTTTCCTGTCTCAGAGTCACTTCACAGCAAGATGATTAATGTTGATGTGTGTGAGGTTTTCTACCGGCGGCCTGCGGCCCTCTGGTGGTCCGGGAGAGGCGCTGCAGGTGATTTGCAGTGATTTCAGGGTGTCAGTAAAACACTGTACTGTGCAGTTACCTGTAAAAACAAGAGAAGAAGAAAACATCAGCTTTATTATCAGGAGTGACAGTCAGAAAAAATATAAATATAGAAATAGATAGATAGAATATTTACATATTTGTAATATCTGAGGTTTCTCACTGAAGCTCATCTGAGGCTCAGACAGGCTGGTGTTCACCTGCTTCAGGTGTGTGTGTGTGTTTTCCTAATTTATACAATATTTAAGGCTTGAAGAATGAGTAAAGTAGAAAATGTGTTTGTTCTTTCGTTCCTCTGTTTAAAGCGTGATGTCTGAGCGTTCACAGAGAACTGTGTCGTTATCCTCCATCATCTCTGTCAGTATTTGAGTGACAGACTGATAGCTGGTGACATTTAGCTCAACCCCTGTGCAGGCTAACTGTTAGCTTCATCTCATTAGCTTTCAAATGTCACACTGATCATATCTGACGTGAAACAAAAGGTAAACTGTCGTAGCTTCGGTTAGAGTGACGTCAAACACACATTCGACTTGTTTCAACACGGGCAGAATACTCTGTGCTCAGTCACAGCTGGAGGAACAGGAAATGTCAAACAGGATTTCTGAACTAGTTTGACTTCTCTTTGACAAAAGCTGTCTTTATAAAGGTGTCTTTATATAGACAGAGACCTACAGGTAACACTATCAACCAATCAATCAATCAAATATCAATCAATCAATCAATCAATCAAAATTCTGAATCAGTCGACATCATTAATGTCACGTTCAGCTTGCTTACAGCAGATCAATAATGATGCTTGATTACATTTTCCACTAATACCTGTTGATGACAGATAATCACCCGCTCGTCTCCATGGCAACAACCTTGTCCTACAACAAAGCCCAGCAAGCATTGGCTGATCAGCAGCCGAGCATGACTTCTTATCAATCATCAATACTCTGATCAGAATCAAAACAGACCATAAAGTCACATGGGGGCAGAAGGTTTTTTGGGGTCAAAGGTCAAGGTGACTTCACCAAACACTATTTACACCAAATTATTCATATTTTATATGAAAATACTGTTTATAATTTATTAAGATAATAAAGTCAAATCAAACTTATTCTCAACACACACACACAAACACACACACATTCACACACACACACACATTCACACACACAAACACACAAACACACACACACACTCAAAAACACACACACACACACATACACACACAAACACAAACACACACACACACACACACAGACACACACACACTCACACACACACACATTCACACACACACAAACACACACACAAACACACACACACACAAACACATTCATACACACACACATTCACACACACACACACACACAAACACACACACTCACACACAAACACATTCACACACACACACATTCACACACAAACACACACAGAGACACACAAACACACACACACAGAGACACACAAACACACACACACAAACACATTCATACACACACACATTCACACACACACACACACACTCACACACAAACACATTCACACACACACATTCACACACAAACACACACAGAGACACACAAACACACACACACACACACACAGAGACACACTCACACACACACACACACACACACACAGAGACACACTCACACACACAAACACACACACACACACACACACACACACACACACAGAGACACACTCACACACACAAACACACACACACAGTCAAGCTGCTGCGTTTAACAGACAGCTTTGATAGGCTTATTAGGAATTAACTGTGCGTGCGTGTATATATGTGTATGTGTGTGTGAGTGTGTGTGTGTGAGTGTGTGTGTGTGTGTGTGTTTGTGTGTGAGTGTGTGTGTGTATATGTGTGTATATGTGTGTGTGTGTGTGTGTGTGTGTGTATTAGTGTCACACTGCTGACTCAGGAGGATCAGTGAACTAATCTCCTCGTCACTTTTCATTGTCTCTTCCCTCCATTCTCTTTTATTCCTTTCCTTCCTCTTCTCTTCCTGTCTCCTTCTTGCCTCCTTTGTCTCCTTTCCTTGCATCCTCCCTCCCTCTGTCCTTCATCTATTCACCTGTCTGCATTTGTTCCTTTGTCCTCTTCATCAGCCCTCTGGGTTTCCTTCACCTCTATCTTCTCATTTCATCTAATATAGTTTCTTCTGCTCGTCTGAACGAACTGAACCTGCAGGTGAGAGGTGCATCTTCACCTGTGCTGCTGTAAATGTTCTCAGGTGAGTGAGGGTGGACCCGCCTCTGCTTGTAGGTGTGTGTGAGACAGACGGTATCATCCCTCCTCTAATCTCTTTATCCGTGTCAGGGTGACAGAGGAGACTGGATCCTCCGCCGCGTCCCTCCGTTTTCTCCTCTTCTCTCTCCGCACTTTAGAGGATCTAAACGGGCCAGGTGTGTGTGTGTGTGTGAGTGTGTGTGTAGAGGGGCTACTCCTCTGTTTCCATGGCGATACGTTTGATGGACGGCTGGTGGATCTAGGCCACGTAACCAAGGGCTGCAGATTATCAGCTGACAGGTGAGTAAGGAGATAATGGAGGGTTAATTATTATATCTGTATTCACATCAGTCATATTTACATCTGATACAGCAACTAGTTCACAGCAAGACAACTAGTTGGTTAAGGTTATGGAAAGATGGAACCAACGTCTCCAACCTGAACCATCAACCCTCTGATTCGACCCACATCAGCGTCTCCTGAAAGGGGCAGGTGAACCGGACCTTGGTTGTCATGGTTACAGTAATAAAACATGGGGACTGTACTGACAGCGGCATACCTACCATACGTTCATCGCCATGGTTACTATTATAACGGTCATGGCTTGGTTATGTTTAGGAAAAGATGGTGGTTTGGGTTAAAATAAGTACCATCTTTGTTGTCATGGTAACAATAACAACGATGAACGGTCACAGATTAGAAACAACATGGGAATCGAACACGCCGCTCTCCTGTGTCACCTCCACCTGGCGTGGACTCTGTCTCTCTTTACACTACGTCACCGACACTTTTCTTCATCACTACGACCACTAGATGTCGCCTAGCAACAAAACCTGACTATGATGTCACAACAACCTGCTGCACAGACGACCTGCGTGTTGAACCCTCAGGGCCACCGTACGAATCATACGCCAGTAATTGGTTTTAGTGCAGATGTTCTGCAGCTGTGCACCACCCATTAATAATTGAAGCAACGCTGTCCTGCAGAGAGCCCTAAAGCATCATGGGAGTTGTAGTTGTTGTCTACAACTGGGGCCTGATGTTTGTCGTGTTGGTCCGTGTCCGCAGAGCGTCAGAGGAAGAACTCCTCCATGGCTAAAGTGGCTCCACTAGGCCCGCCCTCCACCTCCACCTTAACTCCGCCCACCATCGTTCTACAAGACATGGAGGAGGAGTCAGGTGACGTCAGGGAGGGGGACAGGTGAGTTGTCTCTGAAACTTAAAAGTCTTTAAGTGGGGGCTAACTGAATAACAGTATGAAATAAAATCCTCCCAGGGGTCGCACCTGCGGAGGTCACATGGTTTTTAATTTGAGTTTAATTAACACTTAAACTCCGTCAGCTGGTTAATTTGGTTTTCTGTGTTTCAGAGCGGCTCAAAGAGCAGGAGCGGGAGTTCTGTTCAACGTCAACAACAGCAACAACAACGAGGAAGAGTACGACACACGCACACACACACACACGTACAGGTATTTAAGCAGGCGCTCAGCTCACCTCTGTGATGCGTTTCCTGTTGTCTTCCAGGGAGGACGAGAAGAAGAAAAAGAAGAAAGAGAAGAAAGAGAAGAAAGAGAGAAAAGAGAAGAAGGAGTAAGTCTGATCCCACTAAAGGGCCACAGGAGAAATGAAACTGAGCGTTAAAGAGGGGAAGAAGAACATTTCTGCTTCTCTAAAAAACATCAGACTGAAACAGTCTGAGAGGGAAACATCAGTCTTTATGTTTCCAACCACAGACAGACGTCGTGTCTGAGACGACGCTGATGAAGTTCATATGTCGTGATAATGTTTAACTTCCGATCGACCAATGAGGAGGCAGCTCTTTATTTCTCTGTTCCTTTGAATCTGTTTTGGTTTGAACGGACAGTTTAATCCAGTTCTCCTCTTCTTCGTCTTCCTCTCTTGCAGGAAGGAGAAGCAGGAGAAGAAGGAGAGGAAGGAGAAGAAAAAGAAGGAGAAGGAGGAGAAGGAGAAAGAGAAGGAGAAAGAGAAAGAGAAGAAGGAGAAGGAGAAGAAGGCCAAAGAGGAGGCGTGGGTTTGGTTTATTGACTCCGACACTAGAAGCTCTGCTGCTGTTGCTCATCACTTTCCTGTAATGACTTCACATGTTGCTCATTGATCATCATCCCTCCTTACTGTGTGTCCAGCCCCAAAGAGATCACAGTGATCGACCCGGCAGGAAACACCTACTACCACTGGCTCTTCATCATCACCATCCCCGTCATGTACAACTGGACCCTGATCATCGCCAGGTAACACGCACACCTGTCCACACTGCTGCTCGGCCACCCCCTGACAGGAAGTGGATCTGGTGTTGTCAGTTTTCACAGTGTGTGTGTGTGTGTGTGCGTGTGTGTGTGTGTGTGTGTGTGTGTGTGTGTGTGTGTGTGTGTGTGTGTGTGTGTGTTTCAGGGCGTGTTTTGAGGAGCTGCAGACTGAGTACGTGCACTACTGGTTCATCGTGGACTTCGTCTGTGATATGGTTTACATCGCTGACATGATCTTCAGGACCAGGACTGGTGGGAACACACACACACACACACACACACACACACACACAGATGATAGAAATATTCCAGTAGCAGGATTGAACATGTAGTTTCAGGTTTGCAAACTCTTTTTAAAAAGTTCTGAGGAAATCAAATCAAATCAAATGTCACAGTTCAGCTCATTGTTGGTTGTTATTTAACTGATGAAAACAAGATCAGTCTGAAACTGAAGGTGTGTGTGTGTGTGTGTGTGTGTGTGTGTGTGTGTGTGTGTGTGTGTGTGTGTGTGTGTGTG